TTTTACAATATGTACAATCTCCTGGACAAGTGGATCCTACACCAGCATCCAGGATGGAGCTTTTATAACCTCTATAAGGTTCTTTTACCTGAAGAGCTTGTGATGATGACAAATGGACTATGCTCCTCTTATAGAGGTCAGTTAAATGTTCTGGAAGTGTATGTCCTTTTTTTACAGTTGTATTTCTTGCTTCCACAAGCATTGGGCTTCCTTGGGGATGTCCTTTTATCCTACCCCAAATTATCTTCTCTGACATAGGGGTATTGTAGTTGACTTAAGTGCTGTGACATGCAAATCAATGGATGTAGCAACACTTACTGAAATCTGGCCTTTGTTGTTTCCAATCGTCATTTTATCAAAGTTAACTATACACTTCCTCGGTAGTAAATAGTCCAGTCCTAATATGCATTGGTCCTCAATGTCAGCCAAGTATACTTTCTGTCTGTTCTTCATGCCGATGAGCTCAATAGTTACCCACACTGGTCCCCACAACCTTGCAGAATGTCCTGTCACACCACAGAGCTTCTGTACAGCTTCTGGTACTCCTTTGTTATCCAGCACCTTGATGCTCACAAGGGTTTGCTGAGATGCAGAGAGAGAGACTTTGCTGGCACTGTAACAAGCCTGGGCACAAGAGAGCTCAATGCTGGCAACTTCAACACAGGGGAGATGATATAGCAGTAAAGGCTGCTACCCAGAAAGGCTGTTGGAACTGTGGGGAGCAAGGACATCTGAGGAGCCAGTGTAAGAAAAACACCAGTCAGCTTCGGGAAACCAGTAGTGGTTGGTGCTAAGGGACGCCCACCAACCTCCATCGTGAAAGTCCCAACAGCTAAGTGTAAAATGGCAAGCACACATAGTGTCTACGTGACAGGAAAGCTGGATGGCCAAAGGTGCAACTTTGTCATAGCAGCTTTCAGAGAGGTTTGGCCAGAAAAGGTTTGAATCCAGATGACTGTACCAGCCTCGGTACCTCTGTGCTGGACTTAACGTAGGATTCAAATTCGAGAGCTCTGGCCATTGCATCCTGCATGGTAGAGGGGTGTGCTTGCTTCACTTGTATCTTAAGTTGTGGACTGTTGAGGAGATCGGGTGGTGCAGTTGGGTAGGCCTTGTGTGCCATGCTTTCCAAGTCCTCTGCCAACTCTTGCAGGCTCTCCCCTTTAGCATGGACTCTCGTCCTGAATCTAGCCCTGTAGACTTCTGACTGATTTTGGGTTCCGCTTTCTGCTCCTCTGTCCATCCATTCATCCCTGCCAGTAGCTCAAATTGTGCTCTATATGCTTCTCACAGTGCTTTTCCATCGTATTCCTGTGGCTTCCTTCTTACTGGATCACTCCTAGTACTGACATTCATATCTGGGATGTGACTTCTAACAGGACTGTAGATGTCTGCATTAGGGTTTAGCTGCAGGGTCTGGAAGGGGCTTGCCATTGTCTGGGGCTGATTAAGTCGATGGTCAATGTATCCTCCTTGTATAAAAGACAATAAATCATCCTTTAACATATCTAATTCGCTTTTAAATTTACTAATGTTTTCCGTTTGTACTTCTTGTTTTTTTTCTTGTTCCAGTTGCCACTGCTGTCGTCTCTCTTCTTGTTTCTTTTCTCGTTTTTCTTGTTTATTTTCTTTCTCCTCTAACAACTGCTGTAATTTCTTTTCTTTTTTATTTTCTTTCTCCTCTAACAACTGCTGTAATTTCTCTTCTTGTTTATTTTGTTGTTCGAGCTGCAACTGTTGCAGGTTCTCTTGCCACTGCTGTAATCTTTCTTCTTGTTTCTTTTCTCGTTGTTCTTGATTCTTTTCTTTTTCCTCCAACAACTGCTGTAATTTCTCTTGTTTATTTTGCTGTTCGAGCTGCCACTGTTGCAGGTTTTCTTGCAACTGCTGTTGTCTCTCTTCTTGTTTACTTTCTCGTTCTTCTTGTTTCTTTTGCTGTTTTTGTATTGCTGCCATCAAATCTGCTAAGCTGTAGTTTGATTTTCCGCCTCTTGTTTCCATCTTCTTCTTCTGCATAAATTTATTTTCTATCCCACTTCTGACACCAATTTGTTACGTCTCCGTTCGTTAGTTAATTTTCCGTAAATTCGTTCCGACGAAACTTTAGCGACACAAGTCCTTTCTTAAATAAAACTGGTTTATTCTTTCCGAATACAACTTTACGATACACTTAATTTCAACAGTCGCTCTATAAGAAACACTCATGTCTCACGTGGCCAACAATATTTTGTCCGCATACATTCAATTACTCATTACCTACACATTGTGCCGTCACGTTGTGGCCATCTTATATATACCAGACTACCCCCAATCTAGTAATCTCCCGACAATTCACGAAGGTTCGAGAATGAAGTGGCGTGATACTAGTCACGTGCCGTCTCTGACGCAACAGGGGTTAATAGTGTAGTAAAAGGTAGATCAGAAGAGATAATAAATAAATGCAAGGGGATGATAAAGGATTTAAAGAAAAAGACCATAACTTAATTGTGGGGATGAAATTATAAGTAGGACACAAGACTTAGACTTAGGTTATAAGTAAGGATGAGAAAATTGTCTGTTTGGACTTGTGGGTTCAGTTCAATGGGAGAACGGAGCTTTTTGGAATGGTTTATAGTTAGATAGGGTAGGGTCTGGCTTGTTAGCAAGGGCTATTAAGTCAGTTGTAAGAGATGCTTTAAACTAGGAGTAGACAGTGGTGAGGGCCAGGATAAACTAAATGTAAAAGTGAGATGTAGAGAATAGTTTGGCATAGGAAATGAGTACAGAAGTAGTTCTAAGGATAGGCTTAATTGTTACTATTTTAATGCTAGAAGTACAAGATATAAAATAGATGACTTTAGGGCACTGGTAGGAAAGAAGGATTTTGATATAATGGGAAAACTGAAACATGATTAAATGTAGATGATTTTGATGACAGAAATTTCTTTGAAATTCAGGGTTACAGGCTATTTAATAGGGATAGAGTACTAAAAAGAGACGGAGGAGTGGTTCTTTATGTGAAATGAGTTAATCCTGTTGAAGTTGAATCCATTTGGGTTTTTATCAACAAATATAAAGGGAAAAGGTTTTTAGTAGGAACTTGTTACAGACCACCTGGCGATACTGAGGAAATTAGTGAGAAACTTTACAGGGAGATTAAGATATCAGCTGTTAATGAAGTCATAATTATAGGTGATTTTAATTTCAGGCATATACTATAAATTGAGAAAAGCTAGTCAAACCATGAGGAAGAAAGGTGTTTAGAAACCGTTCAGGATAGCTTTCTTCACCAATTAGTCAAGTAACCTACTAGAAACAAAAATTAACCGAGTTAAATTTTTAAATATTCAAGATAAACATATTCTTTAGAGAAAAAAATGGGTGACTGCAAGTAAAAAATCAGGTTGGCTCTGAAGCAGTTTGGTTATTTTTGAGGGAATTTACAATTGCTTCGACGTTTTTAAGAGTTTTTATTAACTTAGAAAGTTTAAGAATAAAGTTTGGTTAGTAGTTGTATTTTTGTAAGACACATGGATGAACTAGAAAAACAAGGTTAAGCAACGTAAGAAGCATTGCCTAGAAACAAGCTGAGTGTACTAAAACTTATGACAGGTTGACCTCAACCCTGTAGAACTAGGAAAGCTACAGAAAAGTTTGGCTTAGCAAGCAATATCGGTGCTTTGAGGCGATATCACTTACCAGCACATGGGTGTAGCAGTACAAGTAAATAGGTGAAAGGCTAACACAACGAGCTGTAACCAAATGTTAGGATGGGGATGGGACCCTAGAGGAACGATATAGGAAGGCTTATATCTGATGATTATTTGATGGCTGGTTATTACATTCTACTTTTTCTTCAATTTGTGCTGATTAAGATTTAAGTAGTATTCCACATCTTGAACAGTTGATAGATGGAAACAAGGTCAAACAATATGATTGCATTAATCCTGAGATTGTTAAGAAAATATTGGGAAGTTTAAAGAACAATAAGGCTTCTGAGCCAGATAATATTTAAACAAGGATTTTAAAGGCAGTTAAGGATTGGATATGTAAGCCACTTGCTAGTATTTTTTGTAAATCCTTGAATAGTGAGCAGGTGCCAAAGGACTGGAAGTTAGTTAATGTCACTCCTCTTTTTTTTTAAGGAAGGTAATAAAAATTGTCCAAATAATTATAGACCCATTAGTCTTACATCAGTTGTGGGAAAAGTTTTGGAAAGTCTGATAAAAGATGATTTGCAAAGTCATTTAATAAAGTTTAGAATTTTATTGGATAGTCAACATCGTTTCACTAAGGGAAAAACCTTGCCTTTCAAATCTTTTGACATTCTTTGAAAATATTACTTCTTATGTAGATGAGGGAAGTGTGTAGATTTGATGTATCTAGATTTTCTGAAAGCATTTGACAATGTGTCTATAGATGTGGGAGATAAGTTATTTGGATAGAAGAGTGGCAGGATGGAAGACAGCAGATGGTTGTTATAAATGGAGTTTAGTCAAACTGGATTAATGTCACAAGTGGGGTACCTCGGGGTTCAGTCTTAGGACCTTTGCTCGTTTTGATTTACATCATTGATATAGATGAAGGAATGGTCAATAAATAACTGAAACTTGTGATGATATTAACCCTACTAATATGGGCTGGGTGGAATCCACCCGGCTCGTAACCACCAAAGTATCCATGAGAATAATTATACTATAATTGTTGATAATCTGTGCATATCTTTACAAAATTTGGAAGATTATTAGTAAACATTACAAGGCTTTCATACACAAAATATAAGGTTTTAAAATTAAGTATTAAGATTTTTTTAATTAAAGATTTGCTCATGAATGTTTTCTTTCAGAATGTTGACTATCCATATGCAAAGTAATTTTGATTTTAAGATTAAAAATATTTTCCTTTTTCTGAAAATTGTCAAGTGTCATTTGCATAATCTCTATAGCCTTCTAGATAATTAAAATTTTTTTAATAAAACTATGTAATCTGTTATTTTATAAATGCTAACTCAATATGGTGTTAGTTGATTTTGACCGACCTCATAACCATCATGAAAATTAGGAAATAATCCTAAATTACCTTTTTTTGTTCTAGAATAACTGCAAATTGTAACAGAAAAGCAGAAATGTTTATTATAAATAGCTTAATTCTCATAACATTTACTTATATTTATAAATTTTTTGTTTTATTGATCTTTGAACTGTGTCTGACTAAAATACCACAACATAAGTTGAAAATTGTGAGATGCATTTGCAGCTCCAGTTATCGTATCGAATAGCGTAGTGCACAAGCTGCTGGCACATATACCCCATGAAGGTTATTATTATGATTTTTCTTTCCTTGTCTTACCTAATAAGTTTTTGTTTTTTAGATTTCAGTTACTTTTATTATAAAAAATATGAAAAACAAATGAAAAATGAAAAAAGTCAGAATTAAATGTCAAACATCTTTTTTTTTTGTAAGTAAAACTTTATACTTTATCTGCTACTTTCTTTACTGTAACATCGTCTTTATTTTTACAGGTAAGTAATCAAAGTATACTGAAAATAAAGTTTGCAAATTAAAAATAAAATGTATAGTATTCTTAGTATTGATCACAAAATTTCAAAGTACTTGTGGTCGTACTTGCTAACCTTTATCGTAAGTCTCGTCCAAATTCACATGTAGTTGTAGAAAAAAAATTTTTTTTTACACTATATATATGCATTTTCAAATACCAATAAATTATAAATGACTATACCTTCCAAACTGTACTGTATTAGGGTCTAAAAAAATCTAATTTCTGTTCAGAAAATAGCATTGAACTTTTCTCTCGTAAATAACTTAGAAAGACTTACAGAATTATGTAGAGGAAATGTAGAGCTCTCGATTGGTTATAAACTTATAGTCTACAAACGTGATGATATGCCCTCCGACCCCTACCCGTCTCAATAGGGTTAAGTCTTGGGTGTTGCTAGCTGTGAAGAGAATGCTGTTGCTTTACAAAAGGATTTAGATCATTTAGTGAGTTGGGTAAATAAATGACAGGTGGGTTTGAATTATAATAAATGCAAGATAATCCATGTAGATTATCATAATTTGGATGGGAATAGCTTTAACAATGTCATGAAAGAAAGGGAACTTGGTGAAATGATTGATCAGTCTCTTAAACTATCCAAACAAGTGTGCTGTTACTAGTGGTAGGACAAATAGGACTTTAGCTTGTATTTACCAAAATACTGAATAGAAGTCTAAAGAGGTTATAATTTTATTGTACAGGTCACTTGTTAGACCACATTTGGAGTACTGTCTTGGGCTCCTTACCGTCAGAAGAGCATTGAATTGTGTGAAAGGGTTTAGAGGAGGGCTACAAGAATGGTGCCTGTGATGGAGAGGTTCTCAAACGAGGAGAGACTGAAATCTCCCAAATTGTTTTCTCTTGAAAAAAAAAGAACAGTTAGGGGGGATCTGATTGACCTGTTCAAGATTGTAAATGGAGTTGATAGTGTTGATGCATCATCCTTTTGCATACTTACTGGCAAGAACAGTAGAACAAGGGGACACAAATATACATTTTGGCAAGGTCGGAGTCATCTTCAACTATGACAGTTTTATTTTTCCAACAGGGTGTTTGGCCTTTGGATGGTGTAGAGGTAGTAAATTTGAATTAGTTTAATTAAAAGCTTGATAAGCATATGAATGATAAGGGCTGGCTTTATTTTTTTATTTTATTTTATTATTTTTTTTAGTTATTTATTTAATAGTCATATTTTAGTTTAAAGGATGGGACAGCCAAGATGGACCAGTAGGTCCCTGATCATTATGTTATGTTATATACAGTCAAACAAAACATAATTCTATCTTTGTATATGGGGAAGTTCAACAAACCACAAATATCTAACAAAAATAATACAATATTCTCCATGGATATTTTAAAGATTAGGTGACAAGAAATTGAATGTTTTGCTTTAGAGAAAATCAAGCAATAGGTCAGAAAGCAAGGGTTGCAAAGATCTTTTGAATGTGCTTTTTAGCTCCTAGCTAAGAACTCGAGCTGTGGAAATTGTTGTTGCATTAGGCATTATATCTACTGGCACAAGCCATGTTAAACTTTGTTACTAAGTTGCTATCAGGTAGATACCCTGTGTATCTCTCTTTGTGAACAAACATTGAATGATTGCAAAGCCAATTTAGTCCTGTTAATCTTGTGATAAATAAACCTTCTTAACTTCATGGTAATGCATATGTATGTATGTGTGTGTGTGTGTGTGTGTGTGTGTGTGTACTTATACATCTCACATGATTATTTGGAAAACAATGAAACAGCACCCTCTCAGCTATCTGATCATCCTAGCTGTTACATGACTGACTGCACAATGTAACATATATATAGTGCCTCATGTTACAATTCAGGAGCTCAGAGCAAGGGCCATGACAACCTTTTAGTCAGAAATCTTTTAACTACTTGACTGTCCTATCTGTTTGACCTGGGTAATTGAGTTTATTAATTAGTAAGTTGGTGGTGGAGGCTCAGTCAATTGTTGGAGCTGCCTCTATCTCTAAATTCTGTACTTCTTCATCTGGCTTACCATGAATGGTCAGACAAATGCTCTCAGCCTTTTCCTCTTTATTCAAATGTTTGATTAAGTCAAACATTAAACAATATAGATTTTATATCAGGCATTGCATTGCATGTCCAAGAATCTTTTCATTCCAGACAGTGACCTGTCTAAAATTATTAGAGAAGTGGTCCAAGTCTCCCTTGTCTGTATTCTGAGAAGTCTGTCTAGCCTTATTGACTAGGACCTGTGAAGCCATCACAAGCCTTTTTCCTGTTACCTCTAAAGTATGGTAGGCTCCCGATCTAGGGTGGTAAAACAGTGGGATACTCTAGTAGCTCATCTGTGATTCTGCTTGACCCCAAGCTCATCTGTGAGTCATATCCATGTCAACAATATACTTTCTGGCTTGGGTTGACTCACTCACTTTTGTCGTTTGGTGCTGACTGTTTCATCTGCTGGAGAAATAGCTCTGGTTAGCACCTGCAGACTCTCTCCAATATTATCAGGTGGCTTTGAATAGAGCTAAGATTGAATCACTCAGTTTGGAATAAGTATTAGAGTCCTGTATGGTCTATCCAAACTAGTCTCAGACTTATCAGATGCCACACCACTGAAAAAATTCTCAGTATGTGTCTTTTGTAAACCAAGGTTGATCCTCAGGGTGAGAGCTCAATCAAGCATTCTGGGTGACCAAATTTTGGCAATTCTCATTCCAAAATCTATGGTAGCAATGAGAAAGAAGTCGGGGACCTTTGCAGAAATGGAAAAAGTCCAACATCTAATTATTTTCAGTTATTTATCCACATGTTTTATTAAAAACAAATTACTTTCTATAATAATTGCAAAGAAAAATGTCTAAAGTTGATTATCCTTTATCTGATATGAGTTTATCTTTTTGCAAAGTTTTTGTTCTTACTCGAGGAAAGGTTGTTTAGACAAAGAAGAATATACTTGAAAGGCATTGTTAACGGACTATCTGTCTGGAAAGTTTTCTGTAATGTGTTTTGAGCTGCTAGCACAGATCTTCATCAGGTTTCTGTTGTTTCTGTTTTTCTCTATCACATATTGTTTTTAAACAGTTTGCTGACTTTTGATTTCATAAGTAAAGTTTCATGATGTCCTGCTGTAGGATTTTGTTTCCCTATTCTGGTTTTACACTTAAAATCTCGGTTTGAGTTATAATTTTGATCATGTTTCAAATGATTTTAACTTTTACTGACCCAACTTGAAATTGAACCATTTGAATTAATTGTGAAAGTTATTTTGTCTTATTTTACTAACTCTGTTTTTTCACAAAAACATACCTGGTTCACAATTTTTACTGTCCCTTTAGTGTTATGATAACATGTCAGTCTTAACAAAAATTCAAAACATCTTTTACAGTCATGAAGATTTTTTTTAAAAAAGGCATAACACTTTGTTCACTAGTGTAATCATTCTCAAGCACACAGGTTTTAGGTAATCAATAGTGATTACTTTATGTATGTGCATATCAATTCACATGTTCATGTTTTAGTATGGTGAAATTCTGTTTTTGTTCATATGTTCATAGATGTATGAAACAAGTTTTTGTTGTTCATTTGACCTGATGTTCAAGTTACATCGTATTTCAACCTCTAGAATGAAAGTATGCAGTTAATGCTCTGAGGGATAACCAAAATGTATAAATTGAGATATGATAAAGTTTACGTTAACATCCAAATCTAAGGTAAAATAAGAATCTAATGGTACCTGTTATGTATTTTCTTTTAAATATTGACAAAATTGACCAATTTACTTACATAGCATAATTTAAATATCTTAACAATTCATTAAAAAATATATACATGTAATGTATTTTTAAATGCATGCAATAATTTTGTTAAACAGGTAACTCAAATACTTAATTTTTGCATACAATATACACATCATGTCGTACCTTTTGTGTTAGTAAGCCACCTCGAAAAGATGTCCTTCCCATCTTATCATAGTCAGTACAGTTAGTGACATAAGGGGGTGGTAACAGGTGTAAAATAGTCTAGGAAACAGAAATATCTTGATAAGTGAAATAACAACCTAAATTGGTAGGTTTAGTTTGCTGAATTAAATCTTAATCTTGAAAGTAATTTAGTTCTTTTGTAAATATTTATAAAAAACTTGTGCCAAACATCTTTTCTCTAAACAAAAACAACAACAACATCTCTCTCTCTCTCTCTCTCATATATATATCTTGTGGTTCCCAGTTAGTCAACCTGCGGCCACATCAGATACTCGAAAGCCTGATCATAGCTTACATCCTAGGTGCCAAGTTTAGAATTTCAACTGAGAAACATGATAGGTTGTGAACTTGTCTCCAAAGAGAAACTAATTAATGTGTTAAACAAGTATTAAACCTTCATTGGCTTGCTTTATTACTGGAGACAGCATTATAATATAAGTATTGCACTTTCCAAGGGAATTGGACCAGCAACCTTTTACCTTGGCTTCATTGTCATCATCTGAAGTAGCCCAATATGGAAAATAATGGGGATCACTGCTGTGATCAATACATAGAATACATATGGTATATGTAAAAAAAAACAAAAATAACACAACCTACCTTCTGAATTTATTTGTACTATTTACACATGCTACAGTAAGCATGACAATTCGATTTGTCAAATGGATAAATAGAATCAGAATATGCTTCATTTTTGGCAGTTCAAGTTCAAGAACTAAATTTTTACACAAGTTCATAGTATTTTGCATTTTTTTCCAGATAACGTATTTTTTTCAACAATGCTACCAACATTAATGTTTAACAGTATGCTTTATTAATGACAGAAAGTTGAAAAAGCACTCCATAAATATCCTTGAAATTTATGAAACAATATTAATAGTCTTATATATATATATATATATCGTGACTTGCACAAATGTTTTCAGTAAAACCCTTACTCTATTGAAAATATTGTATTAAATGCTGCCATAGCAAGGAAATGTGTTTTAAAATTAAATGTTGGTAATTAATTTTAACAATCAAGTTAGTATCGGTTAGAATTTCTGGCTTTTGTTATGCCATCATAACTTAAGTAAAATCCTCAGCTATAA